ACAAAATGGCAGTGCTTACATTAAAAAGTCTGCAAAGACATGCTATAGACACCAGAACTACTACTATGTTTAGCTGTTGTGGTTCTGGTGACTATAGTGTCCCTTGAATATAGAGGGGAAAAAAGAATCATCACAAATGTAAGAAATAAAATGTTTGTATCATTATTCTAAAAAAAAATATGCATATTCCTAGCTTAAATTTTAGCACAACATATGACACAAACATTTTGTACTTTGCAGATTACTTTTTATATTTTTTTTTATGCATATACAGATTGTGTAATACTGCTCCTGACTTAGGGTGACCACATTTCCTAACTGCCGTTCAGTGACACTTTCAGAAGTGCATTCCATACATTTTACTACCCGTCTCTACCCCTTCCATGAATATTAGAACCAACCCTACCCCTTCCATGCACATAAGAACCCCCCTACCCCTTTCATTCATATTAGTACTCCCCTAACCCCTTCCAATTATTTTTCTACCTTCCCCCTCCTCACATCCATATTAGTAGCCCCCATAACCCCTTTCCAATTATTTTATTACCTACCCCTCTCCCCCCATCCATATTAGAACCCCCCCTTCTTTAACCCTTCCATTAATTAACACTAAAAATGCTCAGGTTGCTGTTTTTTTTCTCTTTTCAGAGGTGACCGGCTCTGCTCTCCCCCCTACAAACTGTTGTTCCCCCCCCCCTTTTACCTGATATAGCAGGGGGACCTCTGGACATCCGGCCGGTTAGTCACGTGACAGGCAGGGCCGGTGCAAGGATTTTTGCCGCCCTAGGCAAAAGTAAAGTTTGCCTCCCCCCCCATGTGACATCACAATGCCACACCCATATGATCTGCCATGTTAACTAACACCAGTGCTGCAGTGCCGCCGTGTTTACATTAAAAGGCCTGCAGGGACAGGCTATAGACACCAGAACCACTACATTAAGCTGCAGTGGTTCTGGGGACTATAGTGTTTCTTTAAAGGACCACTATAGGCACCCAGACCACTTCAGCTTAATGAAGTGGTCTGGGTACCTGGTCCAGCTAGGGTTAACCCCCTTTTTTTTTTTATATATATATATATATATATATATATATAAACATAGCAGTTTCAGAGAGACTGCTATGTTTATAAATAAGTTAATCCAGCCTCTAAAGGCTGTCTCCTTGACAGCCGCTAGAGGCGTCTGCGTGCTTCTCACCGTGAAAATCACAGTGAGAAGACGCAAGCGTCGATAGGAAAGCATTATGAATGCTTTCCTATGAGACTGGCTGAATGCGCGTGCAGCTCCTGCCGCGCATGCGCATTCAGCCGAAGAGGAGGAGAGCTCCCCGCCCGACGCTGGAGAAAGGTAAAATTTTAACCCCTTCCTCTCCCCAGAGCCCGGCCGGAGGGGGTCCCTGAGGGTGGGGGCACCCTCAGGGCACTATAGTGGTCCTTTAATGTGAGGTAAATTAGAGATTAGTGCCACGAATAATATACTAGATTGCCTACATACAACCAGATGAGGATGATCATGGGCTGCAGTTTGGCTCCACTGGTGTGGTGTAGAACAGGATCTCTGGAAGCTGTTTGTAACTGTGGTCACAAAAATCAATGTTCTGGGAGAACGGGAAGCAGCTCCATTTTTGGGGGGCCCTTTACACAGCTCAAGGTGTGGGTCCCAGGGTCCACCTTCATGTTCCACTAATGAGTTTGTTCACAGGGGGTGGAGTGTGTAGGGGATGTCCTGATTTGTGTGTAAGGAATGCATTGTGTGAATCTGTGTTTGTATGTGTAAGGGCTGCAAGGTGTGTTTCTGTGTATGTACGGGATGCAGTGTGTGTATCTGTAAGGGATGCATTGAGTGTGTGTAATGAATGCATTGTGTGTTTCTGTGTGTGTAAGGGTTGCATTGTGTGTAATGCATTGTGTGTTTTTCTCTGTGCAAGGGGGTGCATTGTCTTTGTGTGTAGGATGTCAATCTCCCCTCCCCTACCTCTGTTGTAGCGTGGCCGAGCCCTGTATGGTCCGCGGGTACAGGGAGCTTTTGTTTCCTGTACCCTGCCGGATTAAAAGGAAGTGCACACTCAGTGTGCACTTCCTGTTAGTTCGGCCAGGTACAGGAGACAGATGCTCCTTGTACCCGCGGACCATACAGAGCTTGGCCACTCTACAGTGAGGGAGTGACAGGAGGGAGCCCCTCTACTCATGCTACGCCCGGGCGGTGTGCCCTCATGGACGCACCAGCCCGGGCAAAGCTGCAGCCGCTTGAGGCTCTCTGCAGAGCGCCCGGGTGGCTGCAGCATGAGGGGGGCCGGCACTCCTGGCGGCTGCCTAGTCCGCCTAACAGGTAGCGCCAGCCCTGGGGGGAGGTGTTCCTTCCCAGTCTGCAGTGCGTGCGGTTCCCTGATGGAGCCGCACACAGCCTGAGGGCACAAGCGGCCGGCGGAGCTGGGGGGGGGGGTTTCTCTGTAACCTGTCCCCCCGCATGATTTACTGGGGGAGATGTGTCCCCCTCATCCCCGCGGTTCCTACGCCCATGTGTCCATGCTCTGGACACTACGCTGACAGACACAGCAAACCTTCTTGCTACAACTCGCATTGATGTGCCATTCTAGATGAGCTGCACTACCCGAGCCACTTGTGTGGGTTGTGGACTCCGTCTCATGCAACAACTAGAGTGAAAGCACCGCCAGCATTCAAAAGTGACCAAAACATCAGCCAGGAAGCATAGGAACTGAGAAGTGGTCTGTGGTCACCACCTGCAGAACCACTCCTTTGTTGGGGGTGTCTTGCTAATTGCCTATAATTTCCACCTGTTGTGTATCCCATTTGCTCAACAGCATGTGAAATTGATTGTCACTCAGTGTTGCTTCCTAAGTGGACAGTTTGATTTCACAGAAGTGTGATTGACTTGGAGTTACATTGTGTTGTTTAAATGTTCCCTTTATTTTTTTGAGCAGTGTATATATATATATATATAGGATCCATTATATTATATTATACAGTATGTGTTATATATAGGATCCATTATATTATCTATAGTATGTGCTATATATAGGATCCATTATATTATCTATAGTATGTGCTATATATAGGATCCATTATATTATATTATACAGTATGTGCTATATATAGGATCCATTATATTATCTATAGTATGTGCTATATATAGGATCCATTATATTATATTATACAGTATGTGCTATATATAGGATCCATTATATTATCTATAGTATGTGCTATATATAGGATCCATTATATTATATTATATTATATTATACAGTATGTGCTATATATAGGATCCATTATATTATATTATACAGTATGTGCTATATATAGGATCCGTTATATTAAGTAGTATGGGGGGAAAACGCGTAGCACTGTACAATGGGTGAACTAACAGACACGTATTTGTAACCAGACAAGTTGGATGCACAGGAGCAGAGGGATTGAGGGCCCTGCTCAGTGACCTTAGATGCTGGAGGGAGTGGGGTATAGTGACACAAAGGGTAAGGGTAGGGTAGAAAAGTAGGTTGCTAGGATAGTATTAGTGTTTTGTTTTTATGACAGTTAAATGCATGCATGATTTCACTGAGGATATGTCTACTAAACAGTGTTTTTTATTATTTGTATTTGGGCAGTGAAGTGTCCCTTTAACTCATGAATGCAGAGTTGTGTAAAGCCATCTTAGAAGAGTGGCTGCTGTGATAGCCACAATGGTGTTGACAAATCTATGTTAATGCCCATGGTTTTGGTATGGGATGTCCAACGATCTCATATTGGTGTGATGTTCAGGTGTCTACATACTATTGGCTATATAGTGCGTCTGACAAGCTGTACATACAATGCGAGGCTTTATAATATGTGTCAGTCATTGGCTGCAGGAATCCAAGCACCATACCTACTAAAGCCTGCTGTGGAGGTTATGCGTGCTAGGAGTGCCCTGTTTTTAGAACAGTTTGACAATCTACCAGTGTCCTACCAGGTGGTGTGACCACAGCTCTGCTTCTGGATTCTTCTTCCAGGAAATTCCAGTTGTGCCACTGAGCCAAATAGTGCCGTGCAGAGCCACGCACTGGGCATACCTGTATTGGACCTGCTTAGCTCAGTGAAGACATCTTGCAGGGTAAGTAATCCGAATGCGGTGTGGGCATTCAAGAAAGTCAGGTAAGTTTTCAAACCAGTCTGAAATGTTTTAAGAAATTACCCTGGGAGGGAAACAAGGAACTCCTAACACCATAACTACTACTGTGAATAGATAATACGTATTGAAACTATTTTCACCCTCCCAACTCAATAGCTAACATATTTTAATAAAGAACTGGTTTTAAAAAGCTACCAATGAGCATACAATTCAGATTACTTTAACCCTTTGTGCAGTGTGTGCCGGCACGACATAAAGGTATACTGCTGGAGTGCGTATTTTATCAAATAAGTTGCGCAAAATTACCCAGCGATCACTAATGCCAACACCAGCCTAAATAAATAGTAAAAATAGCAAGCCTGTACGTTATTTGGCTAATGATTACTTGGAAAAATACCATTTCATTTCCTATTTGGTGTGCGATGAAGTTAATGCACATTTATCCCAGGGTTATTAATTTTACTTTATTTAGAAAACATTCAAAATCTAAACGTTTCCACATGTCAATGAAACCTAAAACAATGTTTTATCTACCAAACACTGTTGTCGTGTAGGCTCATTGAAGAGTTTTTTTTTCCGTGAGTTTTATTTATAAGTTGAGAATTATGGACTATTTGCAGGGTATAACCATTCTTATTAGAACAGCTTTTTTTTTTTGTCTTTATTTCTTTGTGTTTCATAGAACATAAGGGAACTCGTCTGCAGCTCCAGAACCCCCATAAACAAACTCACTTTAGGTCTTAGTTTAACATGCTACTTTGGCGCCCCCAGGTGTCAGTTAAAACAAAAGAAAAATTTTTTTTTTATATTTTGCAACTGATTCATGTTGGTGTCACACACTATAAGGTTAAAAATAGATTTTTATTTTTTTTACGGCTCTAGATTACGCCACCCCCTTTAAGACCAAACTTCGGGAATAAAAGGGAATCATGGCATGTCACACGTCATGTGTCCTTAAGGGGTTAACAAATAAAGTCAGGCAGAGGGAGATTCCACTTGGAAGCTCGCTGTGCTGTGAGATCGTTAGTCATTATAATCGAAGTCCTTTTCATACACTGTATTCACTGCTTCTCTACAAGCAGCCCTAGTCAGCTTTGGTATTGTTGTGTGTGTGGAAGGGCTCGAGAGAGTGCCTGTCTAACAGCTACTAGTGGCGCGATCTACACATGGCAACTTCTCAGAAACAGCATCGCTTTACAGTCCAAAGGTAAGGGACAGCATGCACCAAAACCACTACAAATAGGTGCTTAGAGTTTCTTTCAAGCAGCATTGTCACTTGTGGGGTGTTGATGCCTTTTGGAAAGTCACTTCGAAGGTGACATGTTGACTTGCATGATGTGGAGGAATCAATCAAGCGTTGCATGAAATGATGCAAAAGAGAGCAGGCACATACCAATTAAAACACCTACCTTTACCATAATTCTTACTATCCATTAGAAAAAGTAGCCAAAATTATATGAAGTGTTCACAGGGGTCACTTGTGTGAAAATAGCCCAGAGCATGAATGTCACTTAAAAGAAAACTCTGCTTTGTCTGGACAAGGAACACTATAGCGTCAGAAATATTAAAACGTATTCCATACCGTATAGTGTTAAAAACACTATCTAGCCACTCCTTGCTCCCCTAAATATAGTAAAATCTTACCTTTATTCCAGTCTGCTGGTGTTGACTCTTCCCCTGATCTACCTTCTTGACTGACATCATCAGAAGTGATGATCTCAGCCAATCTCAATGCTTTCCTATAGGAAAGCATTGGATTGGCTGAGATAGTCAATTCACGTGATCTCAGCCAAAGAAGCAAGACCAACACTGCCCTGGCCAATAAGCATCTCCTCACAGAGATACACTGACTCAATGCATTTCTATGAGGAAAGTTCAGTATCTCCATGCAGAGGGTGGAGACACTGAATTGGAGTGATGCACAATTTGCAGCACTGCCCCAGGAGCACCTCTAACAGCCATTTGAGGAGTGGCCAGTGGAAGTATTCCTATGCTGTAATGTAAACACAGCCTTTTCTCTGAAAAAGACAGTGTTTACAGCAAAAAGCCTTAAGGGACTGACTATACTCACCAGAACAAATGTTGTTGTGTACCTTTGAGAAAAGTTACCACCACCGTTTGTCATTATTTTTAAGTGTATATTGGAATGAGGGTAAGGACTACCTGATGCACTTTTTGATACAAAATCTTCATCAGAGCTCTTGGTGTAGCTGTGCAATGTCCAGGTGTATTGATGGAGACAAAGCAGTATTGCTAGGCCAATTCATAAAATTAGCATAGACATTCTGCCTAATAACAAAGGGATATTTGGAGTAAATCATGACTGAGTGAAGGACACTTAGAGGTCACACAATATTTTACTTTAATCACATCATAAATACGATTAGGTCCCAGCATGAGACAATACAGAAGGATCTAGTCACTACGGGCAGAGACAAAAACTGACAGTCTGGACGTGGAAGCTGTGAGGAAAGGTTAGCAGCAATAGACAGGATGGTCCCAGTGGCAATTTATCTGTTAGCCATCTACATTATGTATTTTAGAGGCGGCACATAACATTTTAAATAAGGAATACATAGATATATATTGGTGAGTTTCTAATAAATACAATGAAGATGCCCTGTAGAGCACCATTCCTAAAACCTTTCCTTGGGACCCCCTAACAAGGCCGATTTTCAAGATATCCCTATAAAAAGCCATTTTCATTGTTACACCTATAACACAGAAGGCATATCTTCAAAAGTCAGGCTGTTGGTGGGTCCCAGAAAAATCTGATACCAAAACACTGATCTAAAGCACAGAATCTATAATTTCTTGAAGTTGCTACACCCCAAGTTTCAGACCTTCCACCTGAAGGTACCTGCCATCAGTGTACCACTTCCTTAATATCAGATATTAATTTTATAGTTTGGGACATCGCCACTAGTGTGTATTAAGATTTTGAACGTCATCCTGGTCAACCTTTCATAAAACATGGAGGCCTTCCCAAGATGTAACGGTCATTAAACACATCTGGCGACTTCTTATCGTACACCACATCAACTATTTTGCAGTAAAACCGACTGGTGTTTTTTGAAGAGAAAAAAATCTTTTGGAATGGCCACAATGAGGAGTTTTTTGTTTTGTTTTTTTTTAAAGGGAATTGTCTGCAACGAAAATAACTTTAATTACTTGTGATTGTGTCTTATGTATTTGTTCTAGAGCTTAGCATCTTCCATTTGGCTTCTCTATAAAATGTAAACCGGATTCAGGTGGGGTAGAGCTGAATGTCGTCTCAGGGTGACACTTGGTAATTCGAGAGGATTTATTTCCTTTTGGATTGTATAGGAGGCCATTACTGGCCTTGAAAGCCTTATCTGGGAAGAGTAATCAGAGGAAAGAACTCCTGTCTACACGTACCACAGATTTATTCTTGGGAAAGTTGGATAGTTTCTGTGTGTGGTAGCCTCAGCTTAAGATAAACCTCTTTATTAAAGTATCTGTGTCACAGTCCACTGTCTGGGGATGCTGGTTTCATGGTGGATGGGAGTGGGGATTCCAGTTAGGGTAAGACTTCATCTCAGACTGCTCAGCGTACCATGTATTCTTTCCTCTTGTTAAGCCTAACTTGGCAGAAAGAGAAGCCTCCAAGGATGACATAGAGTGCGGCTGCGATGAAACAGTTATAGGAAACTTGCTCATAGAGACCATACAGCTTGGTGGGAGGTTTAGGACTGTAAAAAGAAAGAAAGTCATCAGGCTTACAATAATGAGCAGAAGATGAAAGAGAAGAAGACATGGTCTTTAAAATGTTAAACTTACTCAGTAAATAGGTCGTTTTCTACGAAGGGGACATCTTCAATCAGGACAGCAGAGTGGACATTGAAAAAGATTCCCAGGAGTACCTGAAACACATGATATAGATATACTGCATTTTTTTTTTTTTAAATCGAGACCAATACATGCAAAATGGTGTCACACAAAGAACAGTTACATTAAAGGAACACTATATGGTGTCAGGAATATAAATATTTATTCCTGACATAGTGCTGGAATCGATATTTGGGGGTGTGCACCCCACCCCTCTGCTAGTGTCTGGTTGACAGCCACTAGAGGTGAAGATAACCCCTTAAAGTAATTACTGCAGTTTCCTAAAACTGTGATAATTACCTTTACAGGGTTAAAGGACCTAGGACACTGCACCCAAACCACTTCATTGAGCTGAAGTGGTCTGTATGCCTATAGTGTCCCTTTAACAAGTAAATAATTTACTACATAAAGTAATTCTTCAGTGACAAGGTTAGCACTAGTATGCATACTCCATGATATGGACTTTTTCACGACAGGTACAAGTGTTTTACAGGTTTTTAAACAACAAATGTATTATTTATCATAAAGTCTATGGCAGAGTCTGCATATTTTCATGGATTACCGGTGCAGGACTTCATTATACTGCTTAATCAAAAGACTATCACTCCCATGGCTCTCCTCTACCCCATCCTATGTATTCCATTATAGCTCTCTCATCTTGACTGGTAGTCATGTCCTTTGAAGCTGGAACAGCCGCATTGCCGTCAGCAGGCCCTATCTCTGAACCTCTGGAACCCTTGCCCGGCCTTATCCTAAGCATCCGGTCAAGTTTACAACCTCCTTTTATAGACACCTAAGTGCTATTTGGAGGAAAGGTATAGATGGACACTACCCAAGAGCTAGGGGTAGCCCCTTTTTCCATAACCGCAGGAGCCCCAGTTTAAAGACCAGCACTTAGTTACAACCAGTCTGGAACTCCACATTGGATCGAGATTTGCCCAACTCCCAGTCAAAACTTTATTCAATCATTTCTCGGGCTTGACAACTCCGATCCGGCTAATATATGAACAATACACTTGGGTAATTGAGACCTGTCTGAGGATGTGTTTTCATGTTGTGTGCTTATTTTATTATAGAGTTGTGGAAGAACCAGCTGTTAAGCACCCTGACTGCCGGCGCCTTCGGCATGCCAACTGCAGAATGAATACAAACGTTGAACAAGTGGCGTTTCTGCTATGCTCCATGGATCAGGGCGCTATTTTCCAAGCGCTCCATTACGGACTATCTGGGGATATATAATGTGTGGGGGTTCTTCACTGTTAAATTGTTATTTTGTTGTGAGGCTTCTTTGTGTCTGGGAGATAATTAAATTAAGCAGTGGATATCACAATACTCTCCCTGATACAAAGGGGCCAGGGCGAGATCATCTATACCTTTGCTGGAGACCCCATGCTGCTTTTCTGTGTATATAAACGCGCATTGTTTCCAATAAAGGTTGTTGTTCTCCCCTAACACTATGTATCAACTCCTGTCTGGGAACTTGGGCTATAAACACATGCTCTACTTCCAGTTCGAGGGGAAAATCAGCGGAGATATCCAGTCTGGA